TGACCCTATCTTAGTTTGGACGGTCCAGTCGCATGTTTCCTTTGAGGATTTTGAACGGATGATGGGTCTGACCCTAGTTTGAGTAGTTCAGAATCCTTATTTTTTTTGTTACATAATAGAGTCGGGTCACTCTAATTGGCGTCGTCCTAATTTTATATTTATTGTAAAGGGAAAAAAAAAAACAGAAGTTGAACGAACCTTTAGTTTGGGCGGCCTAGTCATATGTCGTTAACTAATATAAACGTCAATTAGAGTGACCCGACTCTATTATGTAACAAAGAAAATAAGGATTCTGAACTACTCAAACTAGGGTCAGACCCATCCTCCGTTTAAAATCCTCAAAGGAAACATGCGACTGGATCGTCCAAACTAAGATAGGGTCAGTCTTTGAAAATCAAGCAAACAGCCCGCAAGACATAAAAAAAAAACACAACACTGCACCACTCAAACTAGAGTCAGGTCCAACCTTTAGTTAACTACTCAAACATAAGCAAAATCAAACTTCTTTTTTTTTTTACACTTTTCCCCCGTCCATTTTTTATTTCTTTACGACGTATGACTAGGCCGCCCAAACTAAAGGTTCGCTTAGCTTCTGTTTTTTTTCCCTTTATAATAAATTAAAAATTGAGACGACGCCAATTAGAGTGACCCGACTCTATTATGTAGCAAAGAAAATAAGGATTCTGAAGTACTCAAACTAGGGTCAGATTCTTAACTACTCAAACTAGGGTCAGACCCATCCTTCGTTAAAAATCCTCAAGGGAAATATGCGACTGGATCGTTGAACTACTCAAACTAGGGTCAGACCCATCCTCCGTTCAAAATCTCAAAGGAAACATGCGACTAGACCGTCCAAACTAAGATAGGGTCAGACCCGNTAAGATAGGGTCAGACCCGACTTTATTATGTAACAAAGAAAATAAGGATTCTGAACTACTCAAACTAGGGTCAGACCCATCCTCCGTTCAAAATCCTCAAAGGAAACATGTGACTGGACCGTCCAAACTAAGATAGGGTCAGTCTTTGAAAATCAAGCAAACAACCCGCAAGACATTAAAAAAAAACACTGCACTGCACCACTCAAACTAGAGTCAGGTCCAACCTTTAATTAACTAGTCAAACATAAGCAAAATCAAACTTCTATCTGTTTTTTTACTCTTGCCCCGTCCATTTTTTATTTCTTATAAATATATTATTTGACAAAGTAAACATACCCCTCGTTTGGGACGGCCTAATCAATAAGCCAACTCGAAGAAAAAACAGAAAATAACAAATTCATAATACAATATTGATGGTATCCTGAACAGATTAGACACACCCCTCGTTTGGAGCAGTCTAGTCCTATGTCCGTAATAATATAAAGCAACAGATACTTTATATAAAAATTGATTATTGCATTTGAACATGGTTAATGCAGGGTTAGACGTATCCCTATTTTTTGGCGGTCTAATAATCTGCCTGGAAGAGAAAACAAACCTGTGAACTTACCTGTTGAATGTTATGTTGTTACAGAGGCTGAACGTACCCCTTGTTTGGGGCAGTTCAGTCACACGGTATACGATGTTATATAGGCAGGCTAGATTACCCCTCGTTTGAGGCGGCCTAGTCCTATGCAATGTGTCAATGGTTGTTTGGACGAGCTAGGCATACCTCTCGTTTGGGTGATCTAGTCATACGCCTTGTGTAGTTGCCTAAATGGATAATAGACGTACCCTTAGTTTGGGGCATTATAGCCATCTGTCATATTTGAACTGTTGAGGCTGACTAGGCATACTCCTCGTTTTGAACGGTTTAGTCATACACCTTAAATAAATGTCTGAGCAAAGGATGAGGGTATCCATCGTTTAGGATGGTCTAGTCCTATGCTTTATGTTTTTGTCCAAATATGTTGAACGTACCCCTCGTTTGAAGCGGTCTAGTCGTATACCTTACATTACTTATTTAGGCAAATTATATCTAACCCTCATTTAGGGCGGTCTAATTATATATCATATACGAGGAAGGATTAAAAAGAGTTAACGAACTGATAATTGAAGTTGTACGGTTTGTGAAAAATGTTATTGTGCTCACTTGTGTGTTCTGTGACTTTGTTTTTGTGGGTCGTCTTTTGATAGTTAGTCGTTTAGATGCTCGTCAAGTGAAGATGCGATAAGTAAAGTAGTGATAGGAGAGGGCAGTTTATGATAAAAATACAATGACCTTATTGAGAGTTAGAGTTAGAGTTGATTCATGATACTATATAAAAACAAAGTATTATAAGGATAACCTCTAACTCTGACAACTGAGTTAAGCATCAGACTTTATTACAAGTCTAGTTATAATGTGTTTACCTTTATGGAGGAAGTGTTGCTAATTTTTTTATCAATTGAAGAAGTTAGTTAAATTTTATCTTTATAAAATTAAGTTGAAATTTGGTTTAATTTAAGATATTTTAAAATTTTGAGAGTTCACTTTCTTATATAAATTGTTGATTAAATTTTAGATAATTTAAAGAATTACACAAAATATGTATTTGCAAAGTTTAGTTGAACTTTAATTTTTAGATTTAACCTTAGTAAAAATATTGGTACTCTATTTTCATAGCGAAAGTGCTATCAAAATTTTTATAAATTAAAGGAGTTTATGAAAATTTTGACAATTCACCCTATCTAGGGTCATAATTTTCAGCAATCTTTGATACCAATCAGTGAGAGGTTTTAAAAAGTTTAGTAGAGGTGTTAGACTACGATATGAAGTATACTCCCCATTTATCTAAAGCATAATAATGATCTTTCTGACTTGTAATGTAATATTAGTCTACGGTTTGATTGTAGGTTCGAAAATTTTTTGTATAATCCATAAAGGACTACTCTTCTGTTACCATTTGATAACTGGTTGGTTCACGACACAACTTTATTTGATTTTGTCCCTCAACCTAAATACTTAGTTCCGTGGGCTTGACATGTTATTTAGGGTTTCACCCATATTTATTTTAATGATAATTTTAAAGGACTGATATCTTTTATGGAAAGTTTGACAATGATTGGGGTTGTCTGTGTAAGGCAGGGTATGAGTTGCAGCGAACAGTAAAATTAAACACAGTGACAATATTGTTTTCTTGCATTTGTGTATGTTTATGCATGTTGGTTATTGAAATTGAAAGTATCATTTATGATGTTTGACTGATTGCTTGTGGGGTTTGATGAACAAGGCACACCTTGAGAACAGCGAGAATGATAACCGAGTATAATACGATCCTTATACTTGATGAGTTATCTTTTATCCTTCTTATTCTACCTTGAATTTTGATGGATACGTAGCTGTTGAAAAAATTATTTATTTATTTATTGGTACAACGAATGCGGGCGAGAGATACGTTATGTTTTTAAGAAGTCAAGAAGTGACTAGGCACCTGCTTATATTTCGAGTTTATATTTTGTTGAAAATTGTATTGCATGGTTAAACTTAGTGTCCTTGTTGAACGACGTCGGACCGCACTTGGGAGATCAGGGCTTCATGCAGGTTCGATTCGGGTGTTAACTGCGCATAACCCTTATGCTACAACGATCAAGAAACGCCCTCGGCTGATCCACCTCTGTGATTGTATGTAAAAACTTTCTCACGTGGTTCAATAGCTAATCGGGGATAAACCCTCATAAAGGATGGTGACAACTCCCACAGGTGAAGGTAAGTTGTACCTCACGAGATCCTATCCTATCATAGGGACTTCATAGAGGTATAACTGACGTACTCGGCATGAGCGACACCTGACTGCTCCATAACGCTTTGCGTTTCGAACTGCCAAAATCATGCGTGATGTTGTTAAAAGGATTCCCGTGGGGGACCGATGCGCTCGACAATATAGTTGTAGGGCTGTGGACAGAGGCAGGGAGACCTTTTGTCAAAACTTGACAAATGTGTTTAATCAAAGGATTTGTAAAGGAGTTTTGTACGTTTCGTTTCCGTACTATGTGTGTTGCTTTTAGGTGGGGCTGGGGGTGAGCAAAAGAAAGGGAAGGAGGCTATGGTTGTGTTGATGCCTATCATCAAGGAAGGATGAAACACGAAAATGGTATGGCTAGGTGTAGAGAGTATAAGTGCAAGATTTTGGTTGTGTTGCTGACAAGGGGGTGAGGATGTTAGGCATGGGCAGCACATCACAATAAGTGATGTGTATGCCTGTCACCATCCTTATCGCTGCGCCTTGCCGTGGGCTACCTCTGGGCCCGAGGCTTCATACAACCCCTCCCCACTCAACCTCCCTTTGCCTGCTAGGGGTAATTGTCTAAATTGTGGTTGGGCCCCTCCCCTCCCCTCATACTGTCCCCCCCTCCCTTTTGTGATCCACATCCCACTACACACTTAGAGTTGGACCCCACAGGAATGCAGAAAGGAAGAATGTTTTCGCGAAACTGTTTTCGGGATCCCAGAGGCAGCGGAGGACCTTTTGGCAAAGGCGAAATGTCTTCCAAACACCGGTTTTCGGAACCCCACGACCCGCAATTTATGGAGTGGAAGAACACGTATGGCCGTTTTCACATCATCCGCAGCGTGGAAAAGTGGCTCCGGAGGACATCTTGCCGCGATTTTGTGCCGAAAGTTGAGAGTGAGGGAGGGAGTGCGTGGGGTACTTTCCAAGGTCATGCCCACCGTTTGAACCAGCGAGTGTCCAGCCCCTTGGCCTACACCGACCCTGGAGAAGTGAGCACCGGGAGGTCGCACTGCCTCTTGCACATGATGCCCTGCGTCACCCACATGAGGCGGCACGGTCATTCCTCGGGTCCACCCCACGCCATTCCGCCACTTTCCTTTTCGGGATGCTGAACGGGCATCTTTCCTATTACGGAATATCACTTGCCGCAAAACGCAGTCCGCGCTATGGGGTCCCGACAAAACAGTTTCCAACCCTTCCAAAATCGCTTGGCCTCTTTTTATGGCCATACGTCTTTTCCATCGTTTTTCCTGTGGGGTCCAACTCTTAGAGGGCTGCACCGATCTATCTACGGTCCAGATAGGAGGCTTCAGTTGAGGCAGGTGAGACCCTCCTCCTGGAAGGTCCTCCGCCCTTGCCTCCCTCCGAGCAGCCTCGCCCGAGGGCGTACGCACACTAGGACATTTTTCCTTATTTCTGGACGGAATTCCGGCCTTATGCATATGCATACACTGTGGCCGAAATCGTGGTCTGATGCATTCTGGAAAGTGCTACCGGTAGTGTGAGTATGCCCGGAGGACTGCAGGGTGCAGGGTCGTCCGCCGTTGCCTCTGTCCGTCTCTCTGAGGACCCTCGCCTGACTGTGTTCCTCGGCACCCTCCCAGTTGTAGGACTGGCTCACCGCTCGATGGTCCGTGCATCTGGCATGGACTTTGATTCCATGCGCGGGTGACAGCAGGCTATGCACTGATACTCGGCCGTGCGCACGTGTGATACCCACCTCAACTTCGGTTCTGGGTTTCGTCCCACCACAGCCGGCTTTTCGGTCAGCATTCGTTATCGAGACCTCTGCATTCTTTCGTTTACTCAGCAGAACACAAGACTGCTTTTTCATCATCCTGCTTTTCGACTTTTCGATCAGAGCATTCATTATCGGAACCTCGGTATTTTTTCCGTACCTCATTCTCTCTCTCTCTCTCTCTCTCTCTCTCTCTCTCTCTCTCTCTCTCTGTCTCTCTGTGTCTTCTCTCTCTCTCTCTCTCTCTCTCTGTGTACGTCGTTTTCCTGTTTTTGGTTTCGTTTTTTCTTCTGGAGAGTGGATGGATTGCCATGATTGGTCCTCCTCTCCTTAGCCGAGGTTTATCTTGTGTGTGTTCTGCTAATTGAGTATCGAGTAGGCCGTGTTTGGTCGTCGATGACTAAATTGAAATGAATTATCTTGCTGTGTGGCTTGGGATGTGGTGGTTCGGTTGTTGGCTCGGCTTCGCTTCGGTCATTATCTTGCCGCTTCCTCTTTGCTTGGGTATCTTGCTGTTGCGATTCATACTAGTAATTACTGCTACCGTCTTCTTCCGATCACAATGCAACATGATAACGAATGTATACAAGCTATCTTTCAGGTCCGGTGCAGCCAAAATGAGGGTGCGTTGTCTTCGGGGGAAGACGGTAGTCTGCTGCACTATACTACTATTATCGAACGGTTTAGAAAACTATTTACTATCATTGCATAACTTTCACAAAAATGATTTTTTTTTTTTTTCATTTGAATACTTATTATTATTATTAATATTAGAATTATTATGACTTTTTCAAGTCTGGGAATGTTCCCCCCCTCTCCCCCCTACCCCACGATTGCTCTTCCCCTTTTTTTTTTTTTTTTTTTTTTTTTTTTTTTTTTTTTTTTTTTTTTTTTTTTTTTTTTTTTTTTTTTTTTTTTTTTTTTTTTTTCTTTTCTTCGTTTTTTTGTTTTGTTTATCAGACCTGTAGTGATTTTTTTCCTCGTTCATTTCGCTGCTTCGCTTGCCCATTTCTCTTTCTGCTCCTCCTCCCTCTCCTCTCCTCTTCTTCCTCCCCCTCTTCCCCCTCCTCCTCCTCCTCCTCCTCGTTATTCTTATCAGTCTTCTTTCTTCTTCCTTTTCTTTTTTTGTCCTACCTCTCTACCTTGTCCCATCGCTTATCACTTCTTTCGTCCGTGGTCCCCTCTCCTATTGACATTTCTCACTTCTTTCGGCCAATTCTTTTTTTTTTTTTCCCCCCCCCCTTTCTTTCGGCCAATTCTACTTTCCCGCAAGTGCTATTTTCCCGCCAATCCTGCTTTCCCGCCAATCCTGCTTTCCCGCCGTTGTATGTTCTCCTCCCTGTCGTTCGCTCCCTTCCAGATGGGTGATCTGGTCTTCCTTCCCTGTGCCTTCACTCGCCGACTGTCGCCGTGAGTCCTTTTTGTGTTTTTTGTTCTTTTTCCGGGCCTTTTTTTTTGCACTTTGTGCGTGCAAATTAATCCGTATTTGTGCGCAGGGGTCATGGCATGCTAATCGATGCAATCTGGGGAAGATGCATCTCGAAACTTCTCTCTTTATCTTCCCAATTTTTAACCTCTGATCCAATTTGGTG